ATTCTCTTAAACACGTATAAAAAATGTAAAGAGTATTAAAAATAACACCATTTGAGGCACATATGGGTAGAAAAACTAATACTCCACTCTCACATATAGCAACAAATAGTTCGCTGAACATTTTAAATTGAGAAAACGCTAAACACGCTTGCTTAGATCGTTAAAACCAACTACATCCTCCAATGCCAGCAGAAAAAATGCACGACCTTCAGAAGTGGTGCGGAGACGAGGTCACAATTAACAGACGAATACCAGAGTCTACAATCGTCCAACAAACGCCAGCCATAGAAAACTCTCGGCAACCAAACACAGGTTCGAAAACTAGGCTAGTATTAGCTCTCGAAATAAATAATTAAAATCAAGATTAAAAAGGACTCAGTAACAAATTGAACCGAACATAAAAAAAAGAATAGAACAAGTAACACGGAAGACAGTTAGACTGGCAACGAAGGTGAAAGCACCAAATACGTTTCAGCAAAAGCACAAACTTATTGATGGGAAAAAACTAACATACACGCCACACACAGCGTGGGTACAAACAAAGGGGAAACAACCAAGACTATTAAGAAATAGTGGGTTTGCGTTTGTACCCAATCCATTAATTTACGGTCCATGCCGACCGTCGCGCTAAGTGACTATGTATCATATAAATCCGCTCTGAGAACAGGACCCTGTTTGCGTTTTTTAGATATCGAGAACCCAAATGCGCCACAAAACCCCATGTTCCGGGAAGATACAACGGGACTCCCAGTGAAACTAACTCGGAAAGATCTACAAAACAGCCCAAACAATAGAAAAACCACAAAAAATTGGGGAAAACGTGCACAACGAACGCCAGCAAAGGGAATGAAGTTCCATGCAGAATCAACAACATTGGACACACAAAGGAGACAACAGTCGGAAAGCGCCACTTCAGTCTAGTCAAGTGACTCGGGGTCATCAACTTCAGAAAACGTAGCATCATCACCAAAGCGGGTAAGTAAAAAGAACACACCGGAAGCCGCCAATCAACTACCACCTACGAGAAATTTCGGGAGGAGTCAGACATTCAACTCTATCCGGGGCACTGGGGAACCCGGACCGATAAATGCCATTGGAAACATAGTCCATACACCGAGAAAGAAATTCTCAACAGAATAACCAATGGACTAGACACCAAAAAGATGCCACAATCACAAAGCAACAGTATCAACACCCGAGCGTAAACCAAACCTAGAAAACCTTATCTCTGCTATGGGATTTCACAAGAAATTGCCAAAATACCAAGATTGTGTATATTTTCTGGAGGCCATAAAACCAAAATCAAAGAAAGAAGACAACCAGACAACGGAGATTATCGACTTGGTATCCCCCGCAGAAAGGTTCTCGTCGTAAGGAATATACAAAACAAAAAACCCGCAAACACAGATCCCGACGATGAAAGAGACGACCTCAAGGAATACCAAGAAAAGCATTAAAAAGAAGAGCAGGACAATAATGGCCAAACACAACAAGCAGGAAAGGAAGAAAAAAAGAAGTCATCTGGTATTAAATCATGGCACTCTGTTTCAATCTCGCCCAGTACCTCTTTCTCTCTTTCTTTGGTTTTGTAAAACTTTTGTCCTCGATTTGCCTGTTTAGGTTGAGTTTATAGTTTTTCCTGCCATGCCTGTCAATTTTTTGTCTGCTTGTGATTTGACTATTCGCGACGTGTCATCTTTTTTCTTCGGTTTTGATTCGTAAACCGGGGCTCTGGGGAACTTTAAAATCAACATACACGCCACACGCAGCGTGGGTACAAACAAACGGTAAACAACCAAGACTATTAAAAAGTAGTGGGGATCAACTATTCGGGAGATCAACTATTAATACTCAACTTAAAACTCATCTTAAAACTCAACACTGTCCTTATGGGACATTAGAACTTAACTTTTGTTTTTATTATTGTTCTTAGGAGGGGTAATGTTATCCGGCCGGATTTGCAAAGTTAGTTTCTAAATTATATTTTTGTTAGCTCACTGCGTTGATCTGATCAGATGACCTTGCTTGATGTTGTGAAAGCGCAACATCAAGATATGTTGTTAGAACATAAATAAAGACATTACGAACAAGTTGTTTTATGTGAACTCTCAGTTAAGAATTATTCGCAGTTTACCAATCCCTTCGGACTCAATATCGATAGCGATCATACCCTGCGGTATGACAGGGTGAACAATGAAAAAATTCGACTTGATCATGTGCTACTTGTTGATTGCCAAACCATCTCTTGACGATCAACCGTAAAATTGTGAGATCTTGAAGGACGCGATGAATACCTAGAGATGAGTGTCAATAAAGATAGAATGAGGCCAGATACAGATGCATTGGGGCGGTCTTGACCAAGACAGAACACCACCTTATGAGATTTTTAGGATTCGCGAACTAGTACAAGGAGTTTATCAAAGAATATGCTGATAGAGTACATTCAATGCAGCAGCTCCTGAGATACAGGGGCAAGAACTTCACCTTAAACGATGTAGCTGACGAATCGTTTCAGAAAATCTCAACTGACCAACGCGAAGCTCAGAAACTGGTCGACAGAAACTGGCCTGTATGTCCTATACACAGATTCCTCGGTGTTGCGGTATCAAGCATAATGCATCAAGAGCAGGACTGGAATGGGAAAATGGTATTAAGACCGATAGCCTATGGCTGCAAAGTACTGAATGACACCGAGATGGAAAACGAACATCAAGAGTGGAGATGTTTGCCGTCCTAACGGTTGTAGAGAAGTACAGAGCACACCTTGGGAGTGCGCCGTTCAAACTTCGGGTTGACAACATCGCATTTTCATGGCTAAAGACACTTTTAATGGCTCAGAGCAACATTGTCAAATGAATCGTACGTCTGGATGGATACAACATGGTTTTAGAAAACTGCACAGGAGACAATAAAAAAAACGGATAGTCCAAGCGAGAAAACGGAGTTTTCTGAAAGTCAGGAAAAATGGAGGCAGAGATAAAAGCAACATTCTTCTTAATCGAACAGAAGACATTCGACAGTCTACCACTAACGTGATGGCTAGATATGCCAGGCCACCTAATAATTGACCAATCCGAACTACCAACTGTTCGAGCACTGACGAGAAATGAGCACTGGTTAACGGATCAAAAACCGAAGAAAAAAGATGACACGGCGCGAATAGTCAACTCACAAGCAGACAAAAAATTGACAGGCATGGCAGGAAAAACTATAAACCCAACCTAAACAGGCAAATCGAGGACAAAAGTTTGACAAAACCAAAGAAAAAGAGAAAGAGGTACTGGGCGAGATTGAAACAGAGTGCCATGATTTAATACAATCCCTTGATAAAAATCTCCGGCGGAGAGGTTGAATGAAACCCCGCTCAGGCAAAGGGAAAGAAAAGTAAAGTTCAAGGAAGAAGTGATAGAGATTGGTCCCGAAAATGAGTCCGGCAAGTCAGTGTTACGCTACAATACATCGCACAAAGAGAATTTAACCTCGGATTTTTCGAGTACGGATGCACAAAATGACGAAAAAGATTAACAAAACATCTAGAATATATTAGAAGAAGAAAAATTTTGAAGACAAGATTGGGAGTTGAGACTGACCCGGCATCAGGGACCTTTGACATGAATAGTGACTGAAGCAGTGATGAAGCAGAACTAGACTTGTTAGCATTATCTAGGAAACCTTTCAGGCAGTTATCTTTCAACAGCAATCTGAGTACCAATCTAGAGCTTGATCATCAAAGCCGGTATTTTTTTGTCTGATCCCGAGATTCTTCTTGATCCTTAAATACTTTACTTTGCCGATTCTTCGCTCAACTTATTATGAACGAACAAGCAAAAAGCGCCATTTTGAGCATTCTTTGGAAAAGGATTGATGAGTCTGTCGGCCAAAAATGGATCTTTTGTTGATCATCTCATATGTTTTGGCCGGCCGAAAACGGATGTAGCAAAATGGTTGCAATGGAGATCCTTTTGGGGTGACGAATGTGTCGAAATCATTTCCGGTTTCACAGTAAATACTAATATCATTTCTATGATTCTTTTATTGATATTAGAAAGCTTATTGAAAAATGTTTGACCTCGTAATCTTGATGTTTTTTCTGTGAAACAGACTTTTTCCAATTATATCAGATCTACTCAATAAACTATTGCAGAAAAGTTCTAGTCATCAACTTCAATGTAAAAGTCAGTCCAGCAACCTATGATAACAGTAAATTTGCATAGGTTATTTAATATTTTGATGAAGTTGGATCTGGCAGTGCAACTTTAAAAGTAACAGTCAATTTTAAAAACTAGAGTATTTCATGGCATCCGCGGAAAGATCAAGACGTTCAAATACATTAGCTCACCCAGGGTTAAGGACCCCCGTCCTCAATTTCAGTTGTCAAAATTTTTTATGGGCTCACTAATTTATGCTATTTTCGACGTTAGACTTTAATTAGCCAACCCTACAACTTTTCAAAGGGCGCTCCTGGCGCTAGAATTTTTCAAGCTTCTTGGAGCTAATTTTTAGTGAGAGCGCGCACTGAAAAACGCCAATTATTTTAAATTAAAACCTACCCAAAATGCCCAGAATCGATGTTTTTTTCCCAAAATACTGCCTGCGGCGTAGATGAAGATACCAAATATGGCCATTTTGGATCTTCGCCTGTGCCTAAAAGATTAGAATTTGCTGACCTTAAAGTATGTTTACTTCAAAATCAACTTGCCAGTGTGTCTTCGCTCTTTACAGAAAAATATTTTGCTTTCTCATATGAAAAAAAAACATAGCCCACCTCTTTGCCACGGTGTTTTTAAACGAAATTGAGCTATAAAGTTTGATACCCAGATTCTGTTCTGTGATTTTTTGCTGAGGGCTGACAGTTTTGGGTTGAGGCAATTTGTATACCAAACGAAAGTGCATGCTCTTGTTACACTGTCTTATTTCACCAACAGTGGGAAGTAAACGTTATAAAAAAAACCATATGATTGAATTAAATTATATTCAAATGAAAGTAAATTTCAGAACTTTGGAATAAACCCAACTTATTTATGATATTTTTTATATTGATATGCTGGTTTAAGATACTCGGTTAAAAATTTTCCTGGTTTAATTTCGTCTTAACATTTTACCCTCATTTGCCCCCTAATAGCACTTTTTCCAGCTGGATAAAGGGGGCTTCAATAATACAGCTGCAAACTAAAGCTAGACAGTTGATACACATGAGCATGCCACTAGCATAGAGAGTGTAGTTGATGGTAGTGAACCGGATCGGCTGTTCCAGAGTCTGCACAAACAGTTCCAGAAGCACGAAGTGTATGATGTAAGTAGTGTAGTTAACTTTGGCGAAAGGAGACCAGAACTTAGCTCCCAGAATATCGTTGATGACTCCGCCGTAGCCCAAGGAGCAGTTGAGAACAATTACACAGATGAAATATGACCACAGAAGACGCATAGTCGCATTGTAGAACGCCACCTCCCAAACTCCCATGTGAGCCCCGTTGGCCCAAAAGTAGCAACCATACACGGAGATAGCGCCGGATATGAATCCAGATACCCACGTGCCAGTGATGATTAGAGATCTGATCCGGAATGGGATCGATTCAAGCTTGTGGCTAATCGCTTTCTTCTCGTATAGTGCCATTCCTAGGAGGAGTCCTATTCCGTATGCCTGGAACCGACAATAAGAAGAGAAGTAGGTCTTCAAAGTCCAAGGACCAGTAAGGTCAAAAGTTTCAGCAGCAGTTTCAAATACGGCAATGATAGGGACACCCTGAAACAATTAGGAATGGTCTTCCTTCTATCATTTAGTCTCTGTATTTTGTATAACTTTCATTTGAAAAAAATTACAGATATGATGTCTATATCATGATGACAAGCCACTAGAATGGAATAATTATGCATTTTTGTGCTCTTTTGTCATGTTGAGACTGAATTGAGACTTGAGTTCTTAATTGGAGTTTGCAGGTTTCATAATTTTTTGAAATTTTTTTGATCGAGTCAAAATACTTAACTGTTTATAAATTTGCGAAAGTATATCAGTGAAAAGAATTTCGCTCTTGAGCATTATTGGTATTAAAATGTTTATTTTTTTGAAATATTTGAGGTTGCAAACTTTCTTTTTGGTTTTTTCTACAGCGCAAATAGTTTTATGTCTTGGTTGTGATTATTGGAGCGAGCTCATTACATCTGGCACTTGAAGATTGGGCATCAGTAGGAGGAAACGAGGAACTGCAAGAAGACGTCATCCATTACAAGGGAGTAACGTTTCATCCCAAATCGAAATCGAATAAAATCGTACGAAACATCTTGAGAGACGAAAGTAACAGAAACGAGTCTGTAATTATCTGGCACGACGTAATAAACAATTCGATTTCAAAACATCCATTCAATCCAAGGACTCCCCTTACTGCCAATCAACTAGTATCAGAAATCAAACCCCTAATCAATTCGCATCCTCGAATTGAAGGCCTTGTCTATTGTCAGAGAGACGGTGCACCCTATATTCTTGAAGATCTAAAGAAACTTCCGATACCAGTTGTTCAAGTTACAACAGACATAATTTCGAATTCGAAACAACAGGACAAAGATCTACTTGAAGGATACAGAGAACTGCATCAGGAAACCGCACTTGAAATCAAAACTTTAGCTATAATACGAAACAACAATAGCAACTTGAGTGATATCATAAAGAAGAAAAAGAAACCGTCAAAAAAACAACGAGAAGCACGAAGGAAACGAGAACAGAAATAAATTGTGAGTTTAAATTTCAATTCGTGACGGGACTGGGCTTAATTGTCCAGGCTTGGATCAAATTTAAATTTCAATTCGTGACGGGACTGGGCTTAATTGTCCAGGCTTGGATCAAATTTAAATTTCAATTCGTGACGGGACTGGGCTTAATTGTCCAGGCTTGGATCAAATTGTAAATAAATGTTCTCTATCCCATTTTCTCCTTCTCTCTGTATCCACCAATATGACTAAAAATTGCAAAACGTGCAAAAAACCCATAAATGCCAGGGACAGATGTTTCAGTTGTGTATCATGCAATGCTCAAATGCATCTTGAGAGCACCTGCACTGGTCTTACTAACACCGCCATCAATGGCATAAAAGACTTGGGTTTAAACGCAATGCTTCTATGCGACACATGTGTAACTAATAACGAAAGAGATAACTTCATAAAGTGTAGGACCATGATGCAAATGAACGAGAAAATTGAAAAAGAGAGTGAGGGAATACAAGCACGTCTTGAAAATATGGAAAAAAGGCTGACGGCATTGGTTGATGAAAAAGTCGAAAACGCTACAAAAACCACATGCGAAAAACTGGAAAAAAGCTATGCAGATGTACTCAGTGTGAAACCTGTTAAAGATGTGAAAGCTCAACCAGGAGCTGGAAAAGAAGTAAAACAAGAAATACATCATAATATCAATAAAAGCTTCCGTATACAGGGGATCAGAGAAGATCTCGAGAAATCAAAAGGCGAAAATTTTGTCCCCACAACCGAAAAAGTACATGAGGTTCTAAAAAAGTTAGGAGTTAAACCACAAATTGAAGAAATAAAAAGGCTAGGGAAATTCAGCAAAGAGCGCATCAAGTCAAGAACCTTATTAATAACTCTGTCAACGGAACATGAAGCACGATTGGTGCTGGCAAAGAGCTTCGAAAAAAGAGATGAGCTGCGAGATGAGGAAATTTACCTTCTGCCAGCATTATCGAAAGAAGATGCGAGGAAGGAAAACCTATGCTTAAAAAGACGAAGAGAACTTCTAGACGAAGGAGTCCCAAAGGAGAAAATCAAAATCAGGAATTTCGAGCTGTTCAATGATGGGAAAAAAGAGACGATAGAAGCAGAACAAGCAGATGATGCTTGACTAGGCTTTCTCAACATCCTGCAAATGAATGTAAGAAGTCTCATAAATCTCGAACGACGAATGAAGTTTGCAAATGCTATAGCAACATCAAACTATGACATAATATGTCTCTGCGAGACTTGGTTAAATGAAAACATTGCATCATCTGAACTAATGCTAAATGAATACAGTATTTATAGATCAGAACGACAAACAGCCAAAGATCAAAATTTGCATGGTGGAGTACTAATAGCAGTGAAACAAACACTTTCATCTAAATTATTGCCAAATAAGCAACCTGAATGTTGTTTAACTTGCAGCATCCAAATAAACGATAAGCGAATTATTGTCTGCTGTTTTTAATATCCACCTTCGAGCAGCAAATATCGCTATTGTCTAGGCGATTTCGCACAAATATTAAATGAAGTCGAGAAATCAAATCAATCAACTGCAACAATTATTTGCGGAGATGTAAATTTTCCAAATGCAAACTGGATTGACTATAGTAGCAAGGAAAATGAAGAAAACTCAATAATTGAACTAATCGAGCAACATCAGTTCGAGCAGGCAATAGATTTTCCAACTTGTGGAAAAAACACCCTAGACATTACATTATTCAAAAATTGTCACATTCATGCGACTCCTGACGAAAATTTCTCAAAAATTTACAATTGCTCCGACCACAAAGCAATCAGCATTCTAATTGAATGTCCTCACCATGAGGTAAAAGTCGCTATTGAAAACTTTCGAAGCTTCGGTAGCGTGGACTATAACGTAATCAAGAAATCAATACTAAGTGAGCCTTTCTCACGAGTATGTCACACAAACATCAACAGAATGTGCGAGGAACTTTACGACTATTTGGAAAATTTGGTAAACCAACATGTGCCTAGAAGAACGAGACGTCGCCAATCACTTCCGCCATGGGTTACGCCAAGTACCTCAAACCTCATGAACAAACTGCGAACACAAACTAGAATATACAAATTGAAACCTACAAGCTACCGCAGAAATCTCATTCTATCTCTAAATAAAATGGTGGAAGAAGCAGTAGAGGAAGATAGAGTAAACTATCAGGAAAATTTGATGTCCACTCGTAACACACATTTAATTTTCAAACACTTTAAGAGTCTGAAAAAATTAGAAACTCTCCCAAAGACTATGATCAAGGACGAAATAGCTGTTACTAAAGCCAAAGAAAAAGTGAACTTTTTGAATGAATATTTTCACTCTGTCTTTTCGCCCAAATCAAGCTTCAACCTCAGTGATATGAAGTGCGAAAACACGATAATGAGTAACTTCAGTATCTCAAAAACATATTTGAACCAAATTATAACAGAGCTGGACATAACAAAATCGCGGGGCCCAGATGGATTCCCACCAATTTTCTTCCAGCGAACGGCCAGAGAAATGACTACAGTTTTGCATTGCGTTTTTAAAAACATTAAGAGGGTAAGGAAAATACCAGATAAATGGAAAGTTGCGGCTGTGTCGCCTATTTACAAGAAAGGTGACAAACGACTAATGGAAAACTACCGGCCGGTGTCACTCCTAAATATCATGAGTAAACTCCTGGAAAAATGCATGTATCCAGCGTTTCATTAAATTTCTCACAAGAAGTCAGCACGGTTTTGTTAAAAACCATTCAGTTGTTACAAACATGTTATCTTTCTTGAAAGAAATCTACGAAGCTATTGACAAGAACGCTGAAAACCATGTGATCGCATTCTATACCGACTTCTCTAAGGCATTCGACAAAGTCCCACATTATGAACTACTAAAGAAAATGAGCAACATTGGAGTTGGAGGCTGTTTCCTTGAAATAATCGCAGACTATCTCAGCAACAGGAAACAATTTGTTCGTGCCGACAATTTCTCATCAGAAACTTTAGAAATTACAAGTGGCGTACCACAAGGATCGTTGATTGGTCCATTATTTTTCTGTATCTTCATAAATGATCTTCCTGAAGTATTGAAATTTAGTGACCCATTTATCTTTGCAGACGACCTAAAATTACTAGCAGTGAATGTAGACACAAAGGACATCCAGCAGGACCTAAAAAGCGTTGAAAACTGGGTAGACAAAAACAAGATGAGTCTGGCACTGGACAAATGTTTTAAAGTCGAATTTAGAGGAAATCAACACGAATTCATTCTTTGTGAAACAGCAGTGGAAAGCTCGAATGTGATAAAGGATCTAGGAATACATGTGTCCAAACATTTAACATGGACAACCCATATTGACTCAAGAATGTCGAAAGCGAATAAAACGTTCTGTTGCATCCGCAGAAACTTAGAATTCAAAGTCAAAATGCGCATAAAATTTGGTCTGTACAAATCCTTAATACTTCCTGTTCTAACGTATGGTCTAATTATTTGCAATATCTCGAGAAGCGACTTAGGGAGATTAGAAAGGTTCCAAAAGAAAGTCTTAAAATGGATCACGGGAAACGATTCTGACTATACAGAGCAGCTGAGATTGTTAAACATCCTGCCTCTTGCGTTGTTTCTCCAGCTGAACGAGTTACTGATGATGGCGAAATTCATGCATGAAGAAAACGATCACATTATGCTCCCAGCAAAAATTGAAAATCCAGGAAGAACGAAAGAAATGTTCAACCTAAACAAGACCAGAACTGAAAAAGCTAGAGAAGAGTTTACATTCAGGACGTGCCGTCTAATAAACCGACTAAATCAGAAAATTGAATTTCGAGAAATGCGAGGCTTAAAGCGAAGATTGATACAGACGATGTGGAAGTTTTTCGACGATCAATTCTCAGAAAAAATTAAGTGCACATGGGTCCTCTTCTGTGACTGCAACATGTGCCGAAATAACTGGACAAAATTTTGAGAACTTTGGGGATATCATCTCATCAGTATCCTACTGAAAATTCACAACAACAACAACAACAACAACA